TGAGATTGGAAGCAGCAACGGGCGAATGTGCGAACTGCCCCTGTTTCCCCTGCTTATAAAGAGGGAGGGGGCGGACGTTCCGCATTTCCGAATAAAGTAACCACCCATGACCTCTCCCACGACGCCGCATTCAACGCGTGCCGTTCGGGGAGGGCGCGGTGGATACGGAGTGAGATACGGCGTAACCTAGGCCGCGCGTGCCCGTACCCTGTTTTGGGCCTGGCCCAACAGCGCTCGGCACCGTGTATGGCCCAGGCCCGGGGGCTCCTGTCGGTGTACTAGAGTAGGGGTACCCTAGTATCCCGAACTTGTGCACGGGTAGTCGCAGCATCCCGCGGCAAGGCTTGCCGGGTGACCGCCAAAGTCCTCCGTGGTTCCCCTGGAGCCATTCAAGGAGACAAGACCCCGGCAAGAGGAGCTTGCCGGGAAGGCCAACTAAGGCACCTCAAGACCCCGGCAAGAGGAGCTTGCCGGGAAGGCCGCCCAAGGCATCTCAAGGAACTTGCCGCGACGCGCCCCGCGTCCCGGAAAGGCCCGGTGAGCGACAAGCTCCCGGGCGTGACAAGACAACGACCGCGGTGAGGCACTTGCCGCGGCAAGACCCCGCTGTGCCCGCGCTCCAGCACATCCACCAACGTGTCGCTCTGGGACCCTTCCAGGCGTACGTGGCGGGAGGCTGTGCAGCTTGCGGTGCGCGGTGGCAAGCGGCGCTGACAAGATCGCCATCGTGGCGAGCGGTGGCGCCCCTGACGGTCCCTTTATGCACTGTTTAGGCGACACAGACGGGCATTTAATGTCCTTGTCCCCTGCCGTCAGGGTTAGGTATGATACACTGTAGTAGATAGCTGTGCCTACCGCAGCACCTTTCCATTTCTACCCCTTGCCTCCGTTGCCACCTGTCGGTGACCCCTTGAGCATATAAAAGGAGGCCCATGCGCAACATAAGGGGGGGTCAGTTCGCAAAACACTCACGCTCGGTCTCGGTAGCTGCTGGTGTGTACTGTAGCACTCCGCGCTCCCGAAAAGAACTCAATACAAACCACAAAGCAGGAGTAGGGTTTTACGCATCCGTGCGGCCCGAACCTGGGTAAACTGCTCGCGTGCTTCGCCTCGATCCGCTCTTTGCACGACCTCCGCCCCCGCCGAATCAAAAGGGACTCGGCCCGCCGGTCCCATAGGTGTTCGTGGATCAGTACCCCGACAGTTTGACATTACATATGTCTAAAATTATAACTTTTCCAAGAACCATTGGCGGTAATATATATTGTTAACATCCATATCTTAAGCAACACATGAGTTCAAAAATTAATTTAACTGACAAAAAGTCCATTTTCACACCTTGAACTTTACGTGAGTCCAATTTTTGTCCTAAACCCTCCAAAATAAACATTGGACTCTGAAACCATTCCCTTGGACTATCGATTAATTTGAAAGCAGTTTTTGTAAAATGCAGGAATGCTAATGGGAATTCAAGTTACAAAGTGGCATACAGGGTATGCATTAAGCACAATAGCTTAGTCCTAGAGACAAGGTTCTATTTTCAATGTAAACGAAAATTTAGAAGATGTTATAGCGTTTTCCACTTTCTAGGTACAAGTATATAAATGTAATGTTTTGTACTCTCTAGGGTAGGAAAAGGAGACTAATACATCATATCTAACAGAATACCCTGATGCTATGATACATTGGCTCCAAGTGATGTTACCTCATTGCTAATATACCAATCCATACTTTCCAACCCTTGAAGCATATCAATAATTTTCTTCATTGTAGGTCTTTTGGTACGCTCAGGATTCACGCAAATTAGACCTATCTGAATGCATCTTATTATTTGTTGGCAATCCATTTCAAGTGATGTATACCCTGGTTCTTTTTGCAGTGCATTTGTCCATTTTTGAAGTTCCTGTGAAATCAGAACACAAATATGGAATTTACTATACAGTGGTAACACGTGACATGGTCTTTAGGAAAGTGGGCCTCAAAAGTTTATACAGATGTGCCTTACACACTCGATGAATTCCGTGGAAGATTTTCTAATATCATATGGGTAGTCCCTGTGTCCCGTTATTACCTCCATGATAATTACACCCAAACCAAATATGTCTGACATAGGTGTGATTATACCTCATAGGTATTCCGGCGGCATATAACCTCTGCATTAACATGAATGGGTGAATGTAAAGCGTTAGGGGAATGAGAAAACATATTTCATTGATTACTTAAAGCAATGGATTATGAAGAGGTGGTTCACTTACAATGTTCCAATAGTAATTGCGGTGTGAATAGTTTGTTTTTGATCAAACAGTCTTGACAGACCAAAGTCTGTAATTTTGGGTATCATATCTTCATCAAGCAATACATTCGCAGGTTTTAGATCCAAGTGAATAATGGGACCATCAGATTGCTCGTGGAGGTACTGTAGCCCATAGGAAATCCCCTCGATTATTTTGAGGCGTGTGGGCCAATCAAGTCCAGAAGATGCATCTGCATTTGTACGTAAAACATGAGAATTTCATAGATGATGTCTTAAAATATAAAATCAGTTATTATTTGTGTGCTCTATATATAGAAAAAAATCAAGATTTACATTATATACTCTCTTTCCTTTTGTTCATATGAACGCAGTTTTCAGGAACTATGATTAAACCACAAAAATTGCAAGCTGAAAGAGAGATGAAAAATAAAGAAAGAAGAACTATTAAATGCCATACCTGAAATGTACTTATCAAGACTTCCCTTAGGCAAATACTCCAAGCAAAGCAAACATTCAGTGTACCAAACAAAAAAGAACTTTCCTTCATGAAGTTTACGTAAATGTTGTGTTTCATAGCGGTAGCCTAGTAGTCACACTATATTTGGGTGCTTTAGTTTCATAAGAAGATTAACCTCATTCTCAAATTGCTCATGTGAGCTTGACACTGACTGCACAATCTTCTTCACTGCGACCATTTTCCCGTTTTCTAGCACCCCCTGCTTAAAGACTCTTATTAATGCTATATGTATTTTTTGATCAATTATATGTTTTAAACTTAAAAAAACAAAAACATATATGCTTTAACATTACCTTATATACCACACCATAACCACCTCTACCAAGTATTCTCCCATTGCAGAAGTTGTTAGTAATGTCTTTCAAATGTTGTAATGGCATATGGTTGAGTGTGGGTTTTGTCTGCATAAAGAAGTTGTTGGGTTAACAAGGGATTGCGCGTATACAATTTCAATAGCACTTTTGGATTAATTTCAAGATTTTTATAAGACAAAAAAATCAAATTTATTCTGGAACTATTAGACGAAACTATGAATTAATATGTAGACTTTTGGAAAATAGAAACAAAGGCAGATCGCAATGAACTTCCTTCCTTTTCAATGTTGTGCTACAATGTAATTATTTTAGAGTACCAACATATTAATTTCATCATTGTAGTGCAAAGATCCCAAATTTGTTGGGATAAAGATCCCAAAATATAATTTATACTCTACTTCGAAACCTATTGCAAATCATCCATAAGTATTAACTCTAGGCAAGTAAGCCCATCAGATATTATAACAAGGTTGTTCCTACAAAAGAAAAAAAAAAGAGAGGATGAAAAAACTAGAATGGTGGTTTCTAGTTGTTGGGAACATCTCAGATGTATGCTGAAACTTCAAAGCAATAACCATAGACAAAATAACTTGTGAATAGGAACAAATGCAACAGGCTTTACCCTAGCGCAAGAGAAGAAAACTCCATGTGGCAATGGAATGTTTATAAGTTTCCCTCTGGGTTCCCATTAAAAGATCCCCCATGCGGAGCATGCAGACAAAGTTGCTATGCGGTTATGTTCTAAGAAGAAGCACTCCTAATTTTAAAACACCCGAGCACAACAAAAGCTTATGCGAAGCCTTTAAGAATTGAAAGCATAGAGTACAGCACATAACATATTCTTCCTACAATTAAACAGATTTCTTACGGTTCAAGCGTCCAATATATCCGCCTCTGGAATGTAGGCTTTTTTTCTACATGACCAGAGTAGCAATTCAGTGCACGTACATTATCAACCTGAAATTTCCAGTGTCAAAAGAGGAAAGCATATTAGTTATCCAGCTCACCTGATTCAGCCATAACAACAATGATCCCAACTGTTTATTGGCTTTCCCAGATGTTCGCGGCCAAAACATATATGATTAACACTTCAACTCTTATTAATAGACAAGATAAACATTGAACAGAACCTCAAGGTACTCATGGGCTTCATAATCGCTCTTCCCATCCATCCTTTTCTGCCACTGATACCCGTCACTCCGGTAGAAGCGATGTACCTTACGGTCGAAAAGAAACCAAGAACCACCTGTAATTTCAGAACCAACTAGGTGAATCACACCCAACAGGGCTAGAAAAGGTACGTGGTAGCTTGAATCGGATATCTCGCAAGCAAAAAAAGGCTGATTTTATTACTTGGTGGCTTCTGGGTCTTGTATTGGATTGGGAACCGCTCATAGTTCTGCAATATCTCAAGAACCTTCACGGTTGCAAACAAAGAAAACAGGAAACGATTGGACGCATTTTGAGTCTTCTATCAGCCCGGTCTTTCCTCCAGCAATGCAATGACGATGCAAGCAAAAGGCCAAATGGCTACGGGCTTACAGCTCCCAGCCGTGTAAACTTTACATGAACAGAGCAAGTAAAAATTTGCAAATGCTCGGTACAAATCGATACCAATCAAAACAGAACAAGCGTGTCTCCCAGCAAATCATACAGAAACTGGGTCTAAGCTCCGGAAGAGCGGATACCAAAGAATAGAAAAAATATTCAGAAAAATACAGCAAATAGTATTCGTCATTCCCTGTGGTTACAGTATTTCCAGACCGGTTCGCACACAAGTTCCCAAAGCAAACAGGCGACGCCCACTTGAGCAGAGAGAATAGTTTTACCCATACAGTGAAAGTGAATTCAGATCCACAGAAAGTCTACTACGCACACAACCTAAACAAGGCCATTCAGTTCAAAATGGTTCACTTCAGGCTTTCAACACCGCCTTGTGGATCATCGTCTCCTTGTGTATTTGGTGGCAGCTCTTCTCCACCAGGTCCAGGAGCTTCTCCAGGTTCGACGCCCACGAGTTGAGCACCCCGTTGCTGTCCTGGGCCGTCCGGAAGGACACGATCCCCATCGGTCTGTCGATCTTGGCAATCAGAGCCTTTGAGTTCACCATGTCCGAGATATGCTTCTCCGCCTCCTGTAAAAGGACAATTTGGAACAAGTTATTTGATACTGCATACACCATATATACCTATATCAACAGAGGATTGATGAAAACAAGGTAGTGCAGTGCTAGCTTAAAGTAGGAAATACAGACCTGCAGGCTCAAGCAAAGAAGATCCGCCAGCCTCTTCAGGGTAATCCTCGAATAGTACTTTGAAACAACCAAGATATTCTGGACAGACCATGAACCGAAGCTCAATTGACAAGCACAAAGAAATAACTGAATAAAACATATAGTGAATGCCAAGAAAGCAATACATGTTCAATGATCCTCAGCTTCAAATCCTCCGCAGCTTTTGTGCCTAAAGCTCCTCCAAGGAGATTCTTCTCGTTCTCGTATTCATCCTTGAAGAATTCCCACAACTTTGTCCACTGGATCACCTCCATAGTAACAACTTGCTTCAGTAGTAATCTGTTTCCACACAAACAAGTGAGCATTAGGCAAGGCCTGTATGGTGTAAATCAGAATTCCTAAACCTAAAAGGCATGCAATGGTACCTGAAATTTGGGATCTCAGAAAGGTTTTTATCCTCTAGTGTAGCATTGAGAAGGCTTGACTGCATTGGATCATGAGGTGCCAGCACCAAGAACCAACAGATCTTCCTAAGAATCTACAAATGGAATCAGGCAGTCAGATAAATTTAGGTATGCACAAGGCAAACGTGCAATCGCAAAGAGGTGAGTGAGAGATTACCGGTGTCCACTTTGCTGGATCCTCTTTTATTGATGGAATTTCATAGATCGACTTGTAGCAACGGCAGATTTCCAGGTAATCATTGTTATGTGAGTAATAGCTGAAAAGAGAAAGACAGTGAGAAATCACGATTGACAACTAAATATGTAAAATACTCAACAGAATGACAAATTCAACTATCAAACAGTTCAAATTGGGAATTTATTTTCCCCTATCAAGCAGTTCAAATAGGGAATCACAATAATAGGTTGACTTTACAACTGTAGCCCCTAAATTGGAAATCGTTGCAATCTACAGGTAGGCATTCAAGCAGTATCCATGACATGACCATGCAAATAGAACACATACATGTAGAATACCTAACAGGAAAAGGCAGAATTTTGAACAAGCTTTCTAATGATAAACAGATCACAGGTTGCAGTAATGACAGACAAAATGTCACTTGAAGAATTGAAGTATATGAAAAAATATTAAATATGTTGTCTTGATTGTCCAGGCATATATTAACATTATGTTCCGTAATTACTGTTACTATCTGTCAAGTAAACTAAAAATTATGATATTTACTTTATCTAATAAAAAAGTTGCAATAACTTGATACATATTACAAGAAAAGATATTTGAACTTATCATGGTTAAGTCACACTAAGAAGAACTGCATACCGAATCATCAGTTCATAGTAGATGCGCTTCAGTTCTAAGAGTGAAGGTACATCTGCAGGGGCTTCCTGAACCATATTATCGCCTTCCTTTGGCTTCTTTTTGTCCTTTGATGTATCCGCATCAAAGACCCTAGGGCTAATCTTCCTGGATAAAATTTGTGCGCGCACATAATCTTGACGATCCAGGCATAGCCGAACCTGCAGCCATGATATAGAAAGGTTTTTTAAGAATGCAATCTTCTCTGTGACCCTTCAAAGTTCTATTATTGCCAATTGCCAACTTACCTGCTCCAGAATGAATGCAAGTTTCTCTGTCTTTGCCATCGAGCCAAATGTTTCAACCTGAGGGTCAAATTTTTAGTTGTTAGTTGAGAAAAAAAGTTAAAGGTTGCCAGATAAGAGCACCAGCAAAACAAGCACATCATGATTATAGTGGATGAACAGCTTATCAAGAATTCTAATTAGCGGGCTAACTTACAGCAACTTCCTGCATGATTTCAGCAGCTTCATCAATCTTTCCCTGCTCCTCTTTAATTTTTGCAAGTCTTTTGATCAATCTAGCTCTCTCTATCTCCACATATATCTACAGTGCATGCTCAAGAATGAGTTTCTGAGAGCCAAGTATTACAGAAGTAAACAATAAAAAGTAGCCATTCTTCTCACTTTTCCAGCAGCGACACTGCTCAATGTTTTGATAAGCTCAATACGTGTCTCCACGTCTGGTGTCACGTCAATGTACTCCATCGCTTTCTGAACAACAGCAGTAATAGCCTGCATATAATAAAGAACAAGAAGGTGAGATATGTGTGTAACTCAAACCCAAAAGCAAATGGCAACATCAATTGCAGACATAGCCAAGAGTGCTTAACTGCTAATGGCATATTGTCCAATCCGTCAATAAATAAGATGAAAGATGAACATTAAGCAGAAGATACATGGTCTAACAAAAGGTCTTACTGTTTTGGAGAGAGAGAGAGAGAGAGAGAACACTGTAGGAAAACAGTTATTTAGTGAATCAAACCATGCAATCACTTAACATTCTGATTTAGTGCTTTGTGATAAAGTATTCGTCCGAAGTAATTTTGTGCAAGTATCAGAACAAGGCAGTGAAATGATAATTACTAAACCTGCTGTCGTGGTTAGAGTGTATGCAAGTGACTTCACAAAAAAAAATTGCACACATGGGCATAAAAACAGCTATAAGAACAAACAGATCCTGCAAGTAAACATTCTATGTTTTTAAAGCGTCCCTAAGCGACGCCTAGGCGACGCCTAGGCGTCGAAGCGCTCCCCCTCCGCTTTGGAAAATCGACCGCTTTGGGCGCCTAGGCGTCCAAAGCGCCCGCCTAGGCGTCGCCTAGGCGCCAAAGCGCCCGCCTAGGCGTCGCCTAGGCGCCAAAGCGCCCCCCTCCCTAAGGCGGTAAGGCGTCGCCTTAAAAACATAGTAAACATTAACATCAATGTTGTTCAACAAAGTCTACACCTACAGTATAAATACAGTAACTATAAACACGGAGTAAAAGAAAAATAATAATTAGGGTGCATGACTAATCTTGCTGCCTTGACTGTTGAACTACTTCATACATGTGCTATAAATAAACAAAGAAAACAGAATAGTTGGCGCTGAAACAGCCCACTAGAAACAGAAGAAATCAGTTAGTAACTCATGAGTCCCATTAAGACATATAGTTTTACATCAACACTGCAAGGAGTGGTGTTACTAGGCAATATGGCATGTCTTACTCAAGAGCCTTTACTGATGCAGCAAACATCGCATTACATAAAGGCATCAAACTGAACAAAACATACTGAGACCTACTTCCTTCACGCATATCACCACTAACAAATTTCTACTACATAAATCCCAGTTTCTCACAATAAACAAACTATCTAGCTAAAGGTTCAAAAAAAAAACTATCTAGCTTCTCCGAACAGCCAATTCCTATCACATAAAGAACTAATCGAAGACCCTAATCCAGCCAATTCTCTGGGAAGCTTCTCTGAGCATAATTCCACCACATAAATCTAGGGTTAAGTATCCAAATCGTAGCTACAGGCTCAAGTTCGACACAATCGAGACGAAGCAGAGAAGGGGGGAGGAGGGGCGGGGTGTGGCGAGCGAGCTGTACCTGTTTGAGCTGGCCCCTCCGCTTGGAGAGGACGACGATCTGGTCGTTGAGCGTCTTCCAGGCGGCGTCCTTGAAGCAGAGCTCGACGATGTCGACGGCGGCCTTCCGGGTGCCGGCCACATCCCCGGCGAGGCGGCACTGCTTCTCCGTGTTCAGGAGCGACTCGATCGCCGCGTCGAGGCCGCTGCTGCCCTCCTGCATCACCACAAATCACCGTCGTCACAAGGACAGCAACAAGCAGATCAGATCGGAAACCCTAGGCCGGTGGGGATGGAACCCCGGGAAGCTCGGCGGCCGGGTGGGGGGACGGGGAGGGGCGGAGGCGGGCGGGAGGGAGAGGGGGAGCTCACCATGGTCGGGATCTCGCGAGGAGGCGGCACCGGCGGCGGGGGTGGGCGGAGGAGGAGAGGGGACGGCGGCCGATTTGGGTTTGCTTGCGGGAGAGGTCTCGCGCTGGGTGGGGGATGGAGCGTGGGGAGAGAGTATAGTGGTGCTGCTGAGCCGGGTCGGGCTCGGGCCGGGCGTCTTGGATGGCGAGGTCTGGACGGCCCAGATCCGGTGTCTGGTCGGTCTCTCGTCTTCGGGCCAGTTCTCTTCGCAGCTTAAAAAATAAGCCGCCTCTTTTCTAGTTTTTCTGTAAACCGCTTCTCTTATTTATTGGGGCTTCTAACCTAATTATAGAATAACTAATTTAAAAGTCTCAATAAATTTTAAAGACGGCTTATTTTTTAAGTTAGGAAGAGGCAGCTTATCTTTTAAAGCAGCCCAAAAGAACTGGCCCTTCGTCTACATGCCGCTACGCAGGCTCGGTCGGAACCTCCGGTTTAGCACGGTACGCGCTAGCGAACCAGCCAACACCCAACACGCACCCCTCACCCTCCCACCGCGCACCCTTTTGTTTTTTTTTTTCTTTCGTCTTTAAAATAAGTCGGGATTAAAAAAAACAATTTTAAAAAAACATAAAATGTCTGTGAATTCAAAATATATTGATGGTTTCAAAACAAATGTTTGGATAATTATAAAATATTCGTGATTTTAAAAAAATTGTGAATTTTAAAAACCAATCAGGAAATAAAAAATGTTCATGATTTGAATAAATGACCGCATATTCAAAAATGTTCTTAAATTTGAAAAATAATTATGGATACAGAAAATATCATGGGTTTAGAAAAAATCATGGATTTTATTAAATCATGCATTTTGATAAAATACTCATCCAAATAAAAATGAAAAAAAAACAGAAACCCGAAGAGAAAAACGCAAAAAATAGGTCTGGGAAGGTTACTTTCCCAAAACCAGAAAGGAGCTACTTGGGCCGCCCCAGCAGTGGCGAAGAGGGGGGGGGGGGGTACGCATTTGGTCATCATCGGCCGACCTACGTGCTAAATAGGATCGAGGCCTCGTGGCTATTGACTTGGATCCCTACATATTAAAAAACTGTGGAGATGTCTGCACAATGCCATTCCTTGTTTTATTGTTCTTGAACAACTACACAACGAAAACAATTCACAATGACGGGTCTGAGCGGTGGGAACGAAGGGCATTAGTCATGCTTTGTTTAAATGTTTATGAGCGAAGGCAATCTCGAAGTCGCTCAAACTTAAGCAACTTGTTTCTGGCGCTGCGCTTGTGGGCGGATCAGGAGCGGGGGTGATTGAGTTTTGGAAATGTTAACGCCCACACGTGTGGGCGTTTGCACATCGCCCACATGTCTCCATCACCACTCATTTTGCCATGTATGAATAAATGATATTAGCATAATTTTTTTTAGTTTTTGGCTTAAAAATATTGTATCTCCTAAATAAAAAAGCGAACTAAAAATCCGTTTTCACCATTAAATCCGTCTCGACGAGATCTGCAAAACTAGACCCCATGTTGATATGTTTCGACGAAATTTTTTTTTTGCCAGAAGTTGCCACGATGTTTACACTGCAGTTGCCATAGAGCTTAAACTAAAGTTGCCATGTGGCAATTTTAGTTTGTAGATCATGGCAATTTTAGTATTTTGATGATGGCAACTCCAGTACTTTGACCATGAAAATTATTTTTTGTATGAACCATGGCAATTTTACGTGCAGCAATTTTAGTTTATGGTTCATGGCAAGTCTAGTTTCTTAATTCCCCATTTTATAAATGTCAAAATTTACATTTAAATGTAGAAGAAAATAGCTGAAACATATCATGGCAACTTCAGTGTAAATATCATGGCAATTCATATGCAATAGACATGGCAACTTTTAATCCAAAAAAAATTTCATCAAAACATATCAATATGGGATCTAGTTTCGAAGATCTCATCGCGATGGATTTAATGGTGAAAATGAATTTTCAATCGGATTTTTCGTTTAAGAGATAAAACATTTTAAAAACTGAAAATCCAAAAAAATTCCTACATGCATGCATGCGATGACTTGGCAATCTGTTTACATTAGAGACGTGTGGTGCGTCTCCCTTCCTGCCACACGTGTGGCAGTTAGCGCACCCCCAATTTCTGCTATGTGATTAATCGTTCGAACACTTCTATATGGATCCGACTAACTGTCAGAGTTGATGGCAACTACATGTTGATATATATGGTGGGAGCGCATGCAGCAGTTGGTCCAAGGCAAAATTGTGCGATCTTCAAAACATATTGCGCCAATAATTCACATGTTGCCTCTCAACTTTGTCCGTGCAGCGGGCAAAGCTACGACTTCTTAGAGACTAAATATATGGGCTAGAGCTTTAGTTGGTCAGTAGGTACGGAATGTTGATGCATATTTCTCCGATGAAGATAGAAGATTACTCGGGGTCTTGCGGAGCAAATGCCAGAGAGCATCGCAGAGGTTTTATTAGAGCTTTTACAACGCGTCTAGAGCATGTGGCAGATGTTGTTTTTGCTGAAGCCGCTGCATTTTACATGAATGTCTGATTATTTCCAAAGTGTTAAATAGGAACCACAGTCACCATGGCAGAGGACACATCCATTGCAAAGGCATAATATTGAATCATTGCTTTGTCGAAGGATTGCGTCGAAGAAGAGGCAAGAGCACTAAAGGATAAAACATGAAAGACATTGGTCAAAACCACCATCACTGTCATCCATCTCTGAAGTATAGAGCAAAGCGAGGAAATCACCACAAACATTGGTCAAAACCAACTCAAAACCACTGCCATTGTCATCGCTGAAGTAGATCAAAGAGGACCATAATCAACAAGATCAAGAGCATTAGTCGGGCAAGATTGCCCTAAGTTGTCGAGCGAGATGATTAGTTTTCCTACTAGTGCCACTGGTCGTCAGCTTAGGTCGCTTTAGGTTACCAGAGAAGAGAATTATGACACAAGACATCGAGAGTGATCTTTGGAATATTTTCTCGTGGCACTAGTAGAAAACAGGGCTTTGGTTCGGGCCTGGCCAGCCCATTAGTCCCGGTTCTGCACGAACCGGGACCCATGGGGGGCATTTGTCCCGGTTTGTGAGCCTAGGGGGGCGGCCGGGGCCTTGTAGGCATTGGTCCCGGTTCGTCTAGACCCATTTGTCCCGGTTCTAGGCACGAACCGGGACCAATGGGCCTCGCTCCTGGCCCACAGCCATTGGTCCCGGTTCGTAACTCGAACAGGGACAGAAGGGGGAGCTTTAGTCCCGGTTCCAACCACGAACCGGGACAAATAAGTTGCCTATATATACCCCATCGCCGCAGTAGAGCACTCCACAGTGCTCTGTTTTTTCTGGCCGGCGATGGGACACTAGTAGAAAACAGGGCTATGGTCCAGGCCGGCTCAGCCCATTAGTCCCGGTTTAGTGTAGAACCGGGACCAATGTGGGCATTGGTCCCGGTTCGTGAGCCCAGGGGGCCGGCCGGGCCACGTGGGCCATTGGTCCCGGTTCGTCTGGACCTTTTGGTCCCGGTTGGTGGGACGAACCGGGACCAATGGGCCTCGCTCCTGGCCCACCACCATTGGTCCCGGTTGGTGGCTTGAACCGGGACCAAAGGCTCCCCTTTAGTCCCGGTTCATGCCACCAACCGGGACCAATGAGGTGCCTATATATACCCCCTCGCGCAAGAGCAGAGCACAGTGCTCTGTTTTTTCTGGCCGAGGGGGAGAGGGCTTTGTGGTGCTCTAGCTCACCTCCTATGCACATGAGGTGTTCGATGGAATGCCCGAGCCACACTACTTAAGCTTTCTCCTCTCGAAGCTCGACCTCCAAGCTCCATTTTCCTCGAGATTTGTACACTTCTATTAATTTGGACACTTAATTATATATAATGCACGCAGATGAACCGGCAATGGATGTACGGTGACAAACACACCCGCGAGTACATTAAGGGCGTGCATGAGTTTCTCGATGCGGCTGAGGCAAACAAGCAGAATGGTTTTATGTGTTGTCCATGCACTGAATGTGGGAATACGAGGTCTTACTCTAACCGGAAAATCCTTCACTCCCACCTGCTTTACAAGGGTTTCATGCCACACTATAATGTTTGGACGAGGCACAGAGAAATAGGGGTTATGATGGAAGACGGCGAAGAAGAAGAGTACGATGACAACTATGTGCCCCCTGAATACGGTGATGCTGCAACGGGGGGAGCTGGTGAAGATCAAGAGGAACTAGACGATGTGCCCAATGATGCTGCCACAGGTGAAGCTGCTGAAGATCAAGAGGAACCAGACGATGTGCCCGATGATGATGATCTCTGCCGGGTCATTGTCGATGCAAGGACGCAATGCATTAGTCAAAAGGAGAAGCTGAAGTTCGATCGCATGTTAGAGGATCACAAAAAGGGTTATACCCCAATTGCAAAGATGGCAACACAAAGCTCGGTACCGTACTGGAATTGCTGCAGTGGAAGGCAGAGAATGCTGTGGCTGACAAAGGATTTGAGAAGCTACTGAAAATATTGAAGAAGAAGCTTCCAAAGGATAACGAATTGCCCGACAGTACATACGCAGCAAAGAAGGTCGTATGCCCTCTAGGATTGGAGGTGGAGAAGATACATGCATGCCCTAATGACTGCATCCTCTACCGCGGTGCATACAAGGATCTGAACGCATGCCCGGTATGCGGTGCGTTGCGGTATAAGATCAGACGCGATGACCCTGGTGATGTTGACGGCGAGCCCCTCAGGAAGAGGGTTCCTGCGAAGGTGATGTGGTATGCTCCTATAATACCACGGTTGAAATGTCTGTTCAGAAATGAAGAGCATGCCAAGTTGATGCGA